TCTCCAAGGGGGAAAAACTATGCACTCAAACATATGCTGGGAATAATTTCAAATCCCAGAATTTGAAGAAAAATAAGGTATTGAATAATTAGATTATTTTGACCAACTCCCCACCAAAAACAATGAAAAGTTCTGGATAAAATATGTTTTAAGTCTCCTAACTATTATGAAAGAGCTGACAGTGTAGTAAGTAAATAGCAGACCAAAATTTAAATGAAAGTGGAGACTGGGAGAAGTAAGTGGAGAACCAAAATACCACTGCTACATTTGCCCCAAGGACCTCTTCCAAAGCAAACTGAGGTTCAATTTTGAATCTTGGCAGATTAAGAGAGGCAAAAGAAGCCATGGCCCAGAGCCTACCTAAGACAAACAGTTAAATGAGTAACCATGTCCATGATATCCTGACACTGAACCAAGAAGGGAAAAAAGGAAGAGGAGTAGGGGGAGAAAAAAGACAAGGTAGAATCCTGTCCCTGAGAAACCGTGGCCCAATATAGACTCTCACATGCATTTGCAAACCAGAATATCAATGCAGACATGGTCAAGAAAATCTCAACTCTGAACTTGGATGTAGATGGTCCAAAACTGGTAGTTCCACCAGGCATTGGCAGAAACAAACACAAGTCCGTTCTGGAGGGAGGTACCTCCATCTTAGGCCACAGGCAAAACAACTAAGCCAGTGAGGAAACAAGACAGTAAGGTTGGGGCACAGAAATATGTAAGTGGAGCCACAGAACAAAAACAAGGCCACTTGTGGCACAGGAGACTCGTGTGCTAGGAACAGACTCTTCAACACATGGCTTTGGAGCTACTGGAAAAAAACAATACCCTAAATGTTGGTGTCCCATCTAAGACTACCTTTTCCTTATAGATTAATTACTTAAAGTTATTAATTAAAAGGCAGAAGATTGTCTTTATGACTTTAAGATAAAGAACTATCTTAGGCTTGGCACTCGTAGCACAGTGGTTATGGTACCAGGCACATACACCAAAGTTGGTGGGTTTGAACCTGGCCCAGGCCAGCTAAACGACAATGACAACTGCAACAAAAAATAGCTGGGCGTTGTGACAGGTGCCTGTTGTCCCAGCTACTTGGGAGGCTGAGGCAAGGGAATTGCTTAAGCCCAAGAGTTTGAGGTTGCTGTGAGCTGTGATGCTGTAGCCTCTACAGAGGGTGACATGGTGACACTCTGTCTCAAGAAAAACAAAAATATCTTAAATCAGACTCAAAAATCACTAATTCTAAAGGAAAAGATGAATATATTTAAGTACATTAAACCAAGATTAATATCTAACTGGATTAGTATCCAAAATTCTTAGATAAGAAGGTAAACAGTTCAACATAAAAATGAAAAAAAAAAGGCACTTCATACAACAGAAAACCCAAATGGTCAATAAACATATAAAAAGCTGCTAGATCTCATTAGTAATTAGGAGAATTCAAATTAGAATTACAATAAATTTGGCTGAAAAAAATAAATGGGATAATACCAAGCTTTAGCATGGCTGTGGAAAAATGGTAGCACTCATACCCTGCTAATTTTGGTGTAAGTTGTATTCATACTCACAGAGAACATTTTGATATTCTTGAATTGCAAGGCCTTTTATTCGGAAATCTGTAAATGTCACTTCTGTGACAATGTTGCCAATAATAAATTCAATGCTGTATTGATTCTTTTTCCTTTATAAGTAATTCATTCCTTCTCTCTGAAAACTTATGAGATGTCATTTTTGTACTTGAAGTCTAAAGGGTGTGCCTGCCTTTCCTTGTCATTCCACAGAGGACTTTTCAGTCTGCAACTTTAAGTATTTCTTCCAGCTCAGGGAATTTCTGTATTATTATTTGTTTATTCAATGTCTCTCTTGTATCTGTTATTTTTCCTAGCCCCTACTGTGTTCTTTATAGAAAAAAGTCTTCTTAAGTGAATCCATTATCATAATACATGTTCTCAGTATTATGTGAATTGCTGTTTTCCTAAAGGACTGATTCCTCAAGGCCTGTCTTCCAGTAAGATAAAAAGATTTCACTAATCAGGGGTGAAATATAAAAAATAAAAGTAATTTTTCCCAAAGCTAATTTTACTTTTTAAAGTAAAAAGTATTATTGTATTATTGTAGCTTTTCTTTTCATAAAATGATGATAGTATGAGTTTCCCATTCCTCTCTCCCTAAATAAAAATTAAATGGTAGTAAAATTAAATGTTTTACTTCGTAGAATTAAATGTTAATAACTCTAAGTCAATCTTCAAAAATTGCTTTTTAAAAAGTTGCTGCTCCATGAATTCAGTAAGTCCAAGAGGCACTGTCCTAAGTGGTTCAGATGAAACCAGTTAAACCGACTAAAACCACTGTAGCCACCTCATACCAAGCAGGGAGCTTATGGGTCTAACTAACCTATTACTCAGTGTACCAATATCTGATCACTCTCTGGCTATGTTGTGATTCCTTTTACTCTCACAATGGCATATCTTATAACCAAAGAATTCACTGATAGATAGGAGAATTATTGGCCCATACTTTTAAATTAATGTAGATATGAGATAATAGAGGCCTCTGGTCTACACCTAGAATCATAAAGCTTTAAAACATGGAAGTAGTTTTATTCATCAACTAGCTGAAGTCCTCATTTTACAAATAAAAACATAAAGCCAAAAAAGGTATGTATCTTGCCTAAGGTAGCATTAGAACTAAGACTAGACATCTGAAGTTTTCACTCTTACACCAATATTTTCTCCACTTTTCCACAGCTACTTTTTAACCTAGAAAGATCCTGTTCTACAAGCAAAATAACCAACCTAAAAAAACCTGGCTTTTATTCCCATATAAAAAATAAAAAATTAATGATATTTCATCAGTAATAATCCATTAGAAAAATAAAATATGGGCAGAATAAATGATCACATTACAATAGCAAGCAAAAATATGAGGTACCGGCTTGGGGCCTGTGGCACAAGTGGCTAAGGTGCCAGCCACAAACACCTAAGGTGGAGGGTTCAAATCCAGCCCAGGCCTGCCAAACAACAATGACAGCTGCAACCAAAA